GAGAGAGAGAGAGAGAGAGAGAGAGAGAGAGAGAGAGAGAGAGAGAAAAGAGAGAGAGAGAGAAAAGAGAGAGAGAGAGAGAGAGAAAAGAGAGAGAGAGAGAGATAAGAGAAAAGAGAAGAGAAAAGAGAAAGAGAGAGAGAGAGAGAAACTCCGAACCTCCTAAATGGCAGAGCGGGCGCCACCTGTTCCCTCCTTGCAGCCTTTCTTTTGCACAGAAACGCCTCCTATTCCTCAGCTTCCCCAAACTCTATCCCTCTTTACAACTCTTCAAAGGCGATCCACGAGGAAGCGTTCCGTAAATAATCTCGTAAATCCGTGCAGGAGCTCGATTAGCTTTACGCCCCCGCAGCCGCCAACCGCTCTCAGGGGCATCGCATTCTGGAAAAACCGGAGCACCCCCCCCCCCCCTTTGCCTCCGGGGGCGGCACCTGGGTGAACTGGCGCAGAGAACTTTAACTAAAAAGCTTCTCCTTAAGCCTGAACTGCTTAATCATTATGGCAATGCCTGGGACTCCCTTGTCATTTATCACTGTGGATTAAGGTCCATTCTATCGACTCTGCGCCATGGACGGCCTATTGTAGTCTTCACTGTGTTATTGTCATCTTGCCTTACTTCTGCTTCTTCGCCTACCCGTTCGAGTATCCCATTTAGTCATTTAATATCTCTATCTTTTGTTTCCCAATTCGTGGGCTACAAGTATGCAGGAAAGCAGGATCTATAAATTTACCAGAAATCTATAACAATGTTACAACTAAAGCGCAAAACATTTACTGTACACACCTTTTCACTTTTCCTCTGTGTTGCGGTGCGGTTTGATATTTGGAGGGGGCTGCCGGGCTCAGGAGATGAGTTCTTACGCCTGCGGACACACACGTTCCGAGGAATTTGTTTCGCTTAGGGGAAAACGTCACACCAGTTTTTTACACTAAGTCACCCCATCACACTAAAAAGAATCATAATACAAAAAAATCGTTACCGTCAGCCGGACGGGAATTTGGAGCGGGGAATCCCCGAAGCACTCGCATGTATTCCAGCTACACATCGGAAATCACTTCGACTTTCGAGCGTCATTAGTACGGATCTGATATTCGTCACGACAGCCCGATATTTGTGCCCTGCCAAGGGTCACAGAAATGACGAGAAACATACTAAAACGTTGACGCAGAATCAGCTATATGCTGGGTAGTTTATTAAATGCTAGAGCTGTTCACATAAACCTATCGAAAAATGATAATGAGAGCAGTTTAAAAACGTCGTCTGTCCAGCCTCCACCGCATTTACCTGTGAACAATCCTCGTACGTTAAGTAATAACTGACGTGGCCTCTTGCATTGCCGACATTAAATTTCATATCAAGGGCAAATATTGACACAAGACCTCCAACAAGTGCGGCCGAGTTCTGAGTGTGTATGAGCGCACAGAGCCCCGGGGATTTTTAATTCCTTCCCCGCCTCCTCTTTAATGAGCGCCTCGCCCTCCCCGCCGCAGACCCCGCGCACGCTGAAATCTCGGATAAGAAATAACATTACAAATCCTTGGTGCCATTCCAGTCATGCTCATAAATAAAGCAGTTCGCAATTGCAGCCGAGGAGCAGTGCCACTTACTTCGCGGTAGCAGCCCCCACCCCCAGGGCAGCCCCCACCCCCAGGGCAGCCCCCACCCCCAGGGCAGCCCCCACTATCCCCGTCCCACTGCCTGTCCGGCGTCGCTGCCACTCCCCGCAGGCATCCTTTGCCAGCCATCTCACCGCCGCGTCTCTTGCAGGTGCACGAGTGGGAGATCGGCAGCAACAAGCTGAAGAGCAAGATGGAGATCGACCCCGCCACGCCCATGGACGTAGGCTACTACGAGTGCCAGGCCAACAACAAGCACGCCGTCGACCACCGTGGCTTCCGCACGCAGTACACCGCCGGACTCTAAGCTCGCGCGCCCGTCCTCGCCCCTCGCTGTCCGAGTAGTCCTCGTCTGTCCTTTCTCTCCACTAGGTAGCCACGTAGGGATCCACCTGCCACCTGGACGGAACGTTTGGCGCGCCGTAACAAACGTTCGGGTCGGCTTCGAGTGACCAGGCTCTAGAGACGCTGCTCTTGACCTTGCGAGTGACAACAGTGTAAGTAGGCCATTAGGGATGCATTTGCTGACAGTCTTAGGTAAGGTTCGAAGGAGCAAAGATTTGCCCAACAGGCGATCATTTGCCAAGCGCCTCCTATCACGGCACGGGCGTTGCCACACGCGCACAAGAGCGACTCCCATCCACAAAACACAACTATTAGAGAGAGATCGGCGTGCATTCCGAGGGATCGTGGTGACAGGCGCGGATAGAGCAGCCTCGCCTCTTAGCCAGGTGAGGCTCTAGTTTCCTCCCCCCCCCCTCACCTGCCACTTCACTCACACATAAAAATGTCGCCCAAACTCATTCAACAAAGTTTTCCAGCGCGCGGCGGAACCCAAATGCTGCCAGGGAAGGCAACGCGACACGACCGCCTTTGCCTCCGAGTGTCAAAAGTCCCTTTTTCGCCCGACAGCCTCCACCAATCCGCGGTTCCCGGGAATCATATCACGATAGGAATTTCGTTTCAATTACGAGCGCAGAAGAGGGCGCCGCACAAGACTCGCACGTCGCTCGACTTGCCCCCCCCCCCCCGCCCTCCCAACCGCGGGCGAGGGCAACGAGCCTCGCCTCGCCTCATTACTCGCAACAGCCCACCCCCACCCACGATCCCTCTCGCATGAAGCAACAGTATATTTTATCTTGTATACACGATCGCTGTGTTGTACCACGGCATTACCGCAGTAATCACTATCATAACACTACCATGTATTTTTTCCTATATGAAATAAATATATCAATATAAACATTACATTTTCATTGCCATTCACCACCAAATTCCAGCCCTCATCACGGTGTCCCTGGTTTCTACCCCGGAGTTCCCGTCTGAAAAGGCAGCAACACGCCCCTCATTACTCGCCCGGCCTCGGCCCCAAACACGCAGCATGTTCTCACCTCTGACGGGGAATTCGCTCACGCTCTCTGCGGCGAGCATCCGCGCCAGCACAACGCCCCTCCCCCCGCCCCTCCACCACCTCCGGCGGGACGCGGGTTCATATCCGGCCCATAAATAATGCACCGGCAGAGGGAGCATGACGTCGTAAAATCTTTAAAGATAGGAGATGCGAGGGAAATGCTTCATTTTCCAAGCGGTGGCTAGGAGGTCGCAGTGGGGGGCGGGCTCGGAACCAGCACTTAGCGCCAGGCACTCGAGGCGTTGCGGAGTGCACGGAGCCCAGCACCCGCCGTGGCATCCATGCTGGGAGCCGCAGTTGGCTGTGAGTTCTGTTAAGCCACTCGTAGCCCTCGAAGGGGCGTGGAGTGCAAGCTGAGAGCCCCAGCCAAATATTCTGCGCCTCTCGCATGTCCTCTCTCTCTCTCTCACACACACACACACACACACACACACACACACACACACACACACACACACACACACACACACACACACACACACACACACACACACACACACACGCGCGCCAACCCAGCTAAAGAAGAAGTAATTTTGCCAGGCTGACCTACCATATTAATACTATAAATACCAACATGGCATGATCCACATAAAAACATACTTTCATACCACAATACATAGTCTCCAGGATGTTGCCATACATGAAACACTGCAAAACACCCCGGTTAAGCATATGCAACGGCATGTCTATACGATCCACATATGAAGAACAGGTAACATTTAACAACCCAAGTTCGAATTCGAAAAGTACACACACATATACACTGTGTCATACATAAAACCCCATTAACTAATCTTCCCTTCTGCAAAAAGACATCGCCATTGCCTAATATAGTAACATTTAATAGATACATTCTGGAAAGGGTCATAAAAACGGCCGATTATTTCCTCGCTCCCCATTACCAAGGACGCAAGATATCTGAAGTGTGTCATTTTCACTGCTGTCACAGAGATCATAACGACCATTATTCGTGATGACAATGGGCTGGCTTTAAGCCTGCGGCCCCCTCTTTGACGCTGGGTTGACGCCCATCTGGAAGCTTCGGCAGCGCGCCCTTGCCTGACGGGAAGCTCCTCCGAACTCCAAGCGTGGTCCAGCGCGGGGACTCGAGCGCGCGGCAAATGCGCTGCGGTCAGGCTTGGTCCCTATGAGCCGCGGCGACGGAACTTGTACAATAATATTCACGATGGATGAAATATAAATGAGTAATCAAAGCACCAATAATATGGATATTAATAAAGTTAACAACGTTTACAACTAAAAGAACAATGGAACATTCTAAAGAAGAACCCGAGCTTAATGTTCAATTAAAGAAGCTTAATACCCGCGATCATTAATGGCCGGGTTATTAATCACTACTGGAGGGTCTATATATTCTAAAATAATATTACCAACAGAAATTAGTCTGTTATACTTGTAATATTCTGATCAAGATTCTTACCTAAAACTTTCCTGAAAAACAAACCATAATGATACGCTCGAAAGATTTTCTCTTTCAAATTCCAAAAGTTTTTCTCGAGTCTGTTATTCTAATCTACATACGCGATTAAGTGGATATACATTAGCGAAATCGTCCAAAGCTGCCCCTGCCGATGCCAATCAATGATTGCCTGCTAATGACAGAATACATTTACGATCTGTAACCCACGCCATTCGCACACTGGGATTGCGAAGAGACACCAGATACTGAAAAAACCTTTCGGACACTGGTCACTTACTCTCGCAACACTGGGCTACTTTTAAACACATAAATGAGGGAAGTAAGAATTTGAAAGTATAGCAATCTATTCCAAGTGAAATGCAAAGATTAAGGAATATAATTCATGGCATAAATACCGCAGACTATAATCAATAAACAATAATAAAAGAATACATCACAGACAAGGTATTGTTTAACCAATTTCTTTCTTCACATTTGGATATATAGAGCGAGGACATCTGCCTCTGGCCATGAAGGCTTCTTATCACTGCT